TTTTTTTGCATTTTTTCCCATTTTTTCCCGGGTTTCCCCCGTCTTCCCCTCACCCCTGCTCCTCCATCAGCTCGGCCAGCTCCAGGCATTTCAGCTCCACCCTCCTCTTGCGCTGGTGGTCGAGGATGTCGGGGTTTGGCTTCTTGGCCAGGGCGGCCTCGAGTCGCCGCAGCTCCTCCTCGCCGGGGGGGGGGTCCCCGCCCCCCCCCCCTTTCTTGGGCCCCAGGGCCGAGAGGTTGCGCTGGACGTAGCCGTTGGGGCCGCTGCCCCGCGGCGTCGGCAGCCCGATCCCATTGTACATCCCAGCGCTGGGAACGGCCGAGTCAGGGCCCCCCAAATCCCCCAGAACCCCCAAATCCCAAAAATCCCCTAAATCCTATAGCCCCAAATCCCAAAAATTCCCCTTTTTTTATAGCCCAAAATCCCCAAAATCCCCTAAATCCTATTGCCCCAAATCCCAAAAATCCCCTAAATCCTATAGCCCCAAATCCCAAAAATCCCCAAAATCCTATAGCCCAAAATCCCCCAAATCCCCTAAATCCTATTGCCCCAAATCCCAAAAATCCCCTAAATCCTATAGCCCAAAATCCCAAAAATTCCCCTTTTTTTATAGCCCAAAATCCCAAAAATCCCCCAAATCCTATTGCCCAAAATCCTCCTTTTCCTATAACCCCAAATCCCAAAAATTCCCCTTTTTTTATAGCCCAAAATCCCCAAAATTCTCCTTTTTCTACAGCCCAAAATCCCATAAATCCCCCAGTTCCTGCAGCCCGATCCCATTGTACATCCCAGCGCTGGGAACGGCCGAGTCAGGGCCCCCCAAATCCCCCAGAACCCCCAAATCCCAAATCCCAAAAATCCCCTAAATCCTATTGCCCCAAATCCCAAAAATTCCCCTTTTTTTATAGCCCAAAATCCCCAAAATTCCCCTTTTTCTATAACCCCAAATCCCCAAAATCCTCCTGCTCCTACAGCCCAAAATCCCAAAAATCCCATAAATCCTATTGCCCAAAATCCCCCTTTTTCTATAACCCCAAATCCCCAAAATTCCCCTTTTTCTACAGCCCTAAATCCCCAAAATCCTACAGCCAAAATTCCCCAAAAATCCCATAAATCCCCCAGTTTCTACAGCCCAAAATCCCAAAAATCCCCTTTTTTTATAGCCCAAAATTCCCCTTTTTTTATAGCCCCAAAACCCCAAAATCCTCTTGCTCCTATAGCCCAAAATCCCAAAAATCCCCAAAATCCTACAGCCCAAAATTCCCCTTTTTCTATAGCCCCAAATCCCCAAAATTCCCCTTTTTTTTAGCCCAAAATCCCCAAAATTCTCCTTTTTTATAGCCCAAAATCCCCCAAAATTCCTACAGCCCCAAATCCCCCAAATCCTCCTTTTTCTACAGCCCAAAATTCCCCTTTTCTTATTGCCCAAAATCCCCAAAATTCCCCTTTTTTTATAGCCCAAAATCCCCCAAATCCCCCAATTCCTACAGCCCAAAATCCCCAAAATTCTCTTTTTTTTATAGCCCAAAATTCTCCTTTTTTTATAGGCCAAAATCCCAAAAATCCCCAAAATCCTACAGCCCAAAATCCCAAAAATCCCCAAAATCCTATTGCCCAAAATCCCCAAAATTCCCCTTTTTTTATTGCCCAAAATCCCAAAATTCCCCTTTTTTTATAGCCCCAAAATTCTCCAATTTCACCCCAAAAAAATCCCAATTTTCTTCCCCCAAAAATCACTTTTTTTACCTCACAAAACACTTAAATTCTAATTTTTTTCCCCTCTAAACACCCTGAAAACCCCAATTTTTTCCTCAATAAGTTCACGTTTTATTTTAAAACCTAAAATCAAATTTTCAAGGCTCAAAATTCTCCTAAAAACTTTTAATTCCCTCAAAACTCCCTCAAAATTAATTTTCCCCCTCACAAATTTAAATAAATCCAATTTTATTCCACTTTTTCCCTCACAAATTTAAAATAAATTCAATTTTACTCCACTTTTCCCCTCACAAATTTAAATAAATTCATTTTTATTCCACTTTTTCCCTCACAAATTTAAAATAAATCCAATTTTATTCCACTTTTTCCCCCACAAATTTAAATAAATTCGGTTTTATTCAACTTTTTTCCCTCACAAATTTAAATAAATTCGGTTTTATTCAACTTTTCCCCTCACTAATTTAAATAAATTCACTTTTATTCAACTTTTTTCCCTCACAAATTTAAATAAATTCATTTTTATTCCACTTTTTCCCTCACAAATTTAAATCAATTCGGTTTTATTCCACTTTTTCCCTCACAAATTTAAATAAATTCGGTTTTATTCCACTTTTTCCCTCACAAATTTAAATTAATTTGGTTTTATTCCATTTTTCCCCTCACAAATTTAAATAAATTCGGTTTTATTCAACTTTTTTCCCTCACAAATTTAAATAAATTCGTTTTTATTCCACTTTTTCCCTCACAAATTTAAATAAATTCGGTTTTATTCCACTTTTTCCCTCACAAATTTAAATTAATTTGGTTTTATTCCATTTTTCCCCTCACAAATTTAAATAAATTCGGTTTTATTCCACTTTTTCCCTCACAAATTTAAATAAATTCAATTTTAATCAGCTTTTCCCCTCACAAATTTAAATAAATTCGGTTTTATTCCACTTTTTCCCTCACAAATTTAAATAAATTCAATTTTAATCAGCTTTTCCCCTCACAAATTTAAATAAATTCACTTTTATTCCACTTTCACCCCTCAAAAAAAAAATCCCCTTTTTCACCTCAAAACCCCCTTAAAAATCCAAATTTCCCCTCACAAACCCCAAAATCTTCACTTTTAACCTCAAAAAAAAACCCCAAATTTCATTTTTCCCTCACGAATCCCCAAAAAAACCTCCCCAAAATTCTGATTTTTACCCAAATTCCCGCCCTTTTTCCCCCTCAAAACTTCGCTTTTCGCAACTTTTCCCCTCAAAAAAAAAAAACCCCGTTTTGCCCGAAACTTCTTTTTTTAACCCCAAACTTTCTCTTTTTCACCCCAAACTCGGTTTTTTTTCCGCTCCCGCCCCTTTTCCCCCTTAAATTTTCGTTTTACCCCTCAAAACTCCTTTTTTTAACCCAAATTTTTACCCAAAATTTCCTCTTTTCGCCTCCTCCCCCCCTTCCCCCTCACGCTCCCCAAACTCCACATTTTTCACCTCACGCCTCCATTTCCCCCCTAAATCCCCATTTTTTCCCCCAATCCTCGCCCCGACTCCCTTTTTCCCCCTCCTCACCTTTCATCTTTACCCAAATCCCTCATTTTTCGCCCCAAAATTCCTCATTTTTCGCCTCAAAAAACCTCATTTTTTTTCCTCCCCTCCCCCCTCAGGCCGCCCTTTCCCCTCACGCTCCCGCCAAGGCCGCGCGGGCCTCACCCCTCCCCCCCCCCCCCCCCCCCCCCCCCCCCCCCCCCCCCCCCCCCCCCCCC